TCCAGCTGCCTGTAAGACGTATTTTCAGACGGTACGCAGGAGCTTCAGATATACGCAACCAGCCAACCCGTTGGGTGCGGAGGCTGCCAAGCAATCTGCTCGGAGTCGGGCCAGAAGAAAGAGGGTAAGACTTTATTTGGTGACTATTTTTCAGGTGCATTAATAGATGTGTTGTGTCCATACGCAGTGCGCTGATTCATTGTTTTTTTTCAGCTGCTGAAAGCGAGGCAGAGTGTGCTAGCAGATGAGGAAGTGGAACTCTGGAAGTCCGCCACCGTCGGCCTCATGTCCGACGAAGAAGATGGCGTCGTTGGCGGTGTCTCTGGATGGATTGTACGATCGCCGCCATTTCGTAGGCCGGATCTCACTGAACTCTGTGTTAAGCTGCAGTCCCGGTTAGAAGCGATGCCGAAGTACAGGGCCACGCACAGTAGGCGTCTGCACACCGGACCTGCCTCGGAGGGAATGCTGCCTGTTACCTCCAACCCCGAGGAAGCAAACGGACCGTTCACGGAGTTGTAATTTTTAGATACGCATGTGTTTGGATACGCGTTGTATATAGTTGTGTGTGTTTTAATAAAGCTCTTTCTTTGCATAAACAGCTTCCTGGCAAATGTTCATTTCCTGTATAAATTAATTCATGTCCTTGATGGTAGCATAATAATTGTGTAGTAGTGTAGGATAACATAAATACACACCATATGAATGAATAAATATATGAATGAATAAATATATATTCATAAATACATATATATATATATATATATATATATATGTATATATATATATATATGTAAATATATATATATGCCAACCAATCACGAGCGACTTTACTTGTTTAAAAAGAAGTGGTTCCGTCCAATACTCAGTAAGAAAATTAAAGCCTGGCGTGGCCACGTGTGGTTTTGCTGCCAATCACGAGCGATTTCACTTGTTTGAGAATAGTGGTTTCAGCCAATACTGAGTAGGTTATTCAAGCCAGACCTGGCCAGCCCCGCGGGTTTGCTGCATTCATATGCTAATTAGGGCCATTAGTACAGCTGATCGCTCTCCACATACGTCAGAGTCAGTTTCCGACAATTTGTGGCACGACAAACGCGGACAAGCGCGGGTTGCAAATTGTCGGAAACTGACGAAAATCAGGGAGATCTGCGGGAGTTTACGGGGGTTTACGGGGACGAAAATCTCACTTTTCATGCAGTGTTACATACACACACATTGACATAATAATCCTGCCCCATGGGGTCCACAGTCTTAATGTGCTCCTGGTCCCAAGCCCAGATGAACGGAGAGGGTTATGTCAAGAAGAGAATCTGGTGTCAATTATTAGAGAGATATTCATCCAGGTGTCCATTCTTTTTTCTTCTTGAGGGTCATCTACATTGGTTTCATTTGCATGAATATATTTAATAATCTGTGTAAAAGATATAACAGGTCAATAGAGGCACTATAAGTTATATTAAAGCTGGCGATCACTTCCACCATAATGAACTTTTTGAAGAGTTTCAGTCTGGCTTTAGAGCTCATCATAGCACTGAAACAGCTCTGGTGAAAGTCACTAATGATATTCTCATGGCCTCAGATAATGGACTTGTATCTGTGCTCGTCCTGTTGGATCTTAGTGCTGCATTTGATACAGTTGACCATAATATTCTTTTAGAAAGACTTGAATATTTTGTTGGAATTAAAGGAACAGCACTAGACTGGTTTAAATTATCTATCTGATCGAATTCAGTTTGTTCATGTTAATGATAGATCTTCAACACGCTCAAAGTTTTACCTGTGGAGTACCACAGGGATCAGTGCAAGGACCAATTCTCTTTACTTTATATATGCTCCCAATTGGTAGAGTTATTAGACAGCATGGGATTAATTTTCACTGTTATGCTGATGATACCCAGCTATATCTGTCTATAAATCCAGATGAAGCTAACCCATTACATAGATTACAGGCATGTCTTGAAGACATAAAAACCTGGATGACTCTTAACTTTCTGCTTCTGAATGCAGACAAAACAGAAGTTATAGTCTTTGGACCAGAGTCTCTGAAAAAGAAGCTGATTAGTCAGTCACTTCATTTGGATGGGATTAAACTGATTTCAGATAATAAAGTAAAAAATCTTGGTGTTATTTTTGATCAGGACCTGTCATTTAAATCCCATATCAAAGAGGTTTCTAGAATTTCCTTCTTTCATCTGAGGAACATTGCAAAAATTAGAAATCTCCTGTCCAGGGGTGATGCTGAGAAACTAGTCCATGCATTTGTTACTTCAAGGCTGGACTATTGTAATTCTTTACTATCAGGAAGTCCACAAACTGTAGTTAAAAGCCTTCAGCTGATCCAAAATGCTGCAGCCAGAGTTCTAATGAAAATTAAAAAGAGAGATCATATCTCACCTATCCTGGCTTCTCTTCATTGGCTTCCTGTTAAATCAAGAATAGAATTTAAAATCCTCCTTCTCACATATAAAGCCTTAAATGGCCAAGCTCCATCTTATATCAGAGATCTGATTGTTCCTTATGTTCCTAACAGAGCACTTCGCTCTCAATCTGCAGGTTTACTAGTGGTTCCTAGAATTTCTAAAAGTAGAATGGGAGGCAGATCTTTTAGTTCTCAGGCTCCTCTCCTGTGGAACCAACTACCAGTTTTAGTCCGTGAGGCAGACACCCTGTCTACTTTTAAGGCTAGGCTTAAAACTTTCCTTTTTGATAAAGCTTATAGTTAGAGTGGCTCAGGTTATCCTGAGCTATCTCTATAGTTATGCTGCTATAGGCTTAGACTGCTGGAGGACATAGGGACCCCCATTTCATCATTCTGCTTCATTCTCTCTCTGTTCTCCTATTCTGCAGAATCTTTTAGTTCAATCTCTAACCTTCTGCTCTCTCTGCTTTTCCTCAGAGTAGCTTTGCCTCGTCTGTTCCTGTTTGGCTGAGATGCCATCCTGGAAAGAAACATCAGCTGTGCTGCTTCTATCAACACCCTTGTTTATAGATGTTTGAGATCGGCCTGTTTTCCAGTGTGGTCCTGTTTCTCTGACCGTGACTGAGTGGATGTGCTCTCTTCGTCCTCTGTCATGGGAGCTGCCTTGGAGCTCGTCTGCCTGGCTGTGTGTTTCCTGGACGGGGCCGCCTTTTACAGCTGCTTTTTGTATCTCTGCTTCTGTCTCCTTGAACCCCAGTGGGCCTCAGCAGATGGCCGCTCACACTGAGCCTGGTTCTGCTGGAGGTTTCTTCCTGTTCAAAGGGAGTTTTTCCTCTCCACTGTCGCTACAAGCATGCTTAGTGTGGGGGATTGTATTTGAGTCAATGAGTCAATGCAATCAACTGGTTTTCCTTAGATAGAAAACTTTGTATCAATTTGACTGTATGATCTGGTTGAACTGTAAAGTGCCTTGAGATGACATGTGTTGTGAATTTGGCGCTATATAAATAAACTGAATTGAATTGAATTATGAGCAAAGCTTAGTGCTGTATAAAAGTCTGCTCATCAAATTATGATAATCCACCATAATAAGTAACTCTAACTGTCCAGAAACACTTTCAAACATGGCGCCTTCTGCTGCGCTTCTCTACTGAGCACTTCTCTCTTTCATATGGGTTTATTTCTGGTAAGGAGTAGCTAGCCTAGGCTAGCGCTAGCTTAGCATTGCTATGGCTTCTCTCTCTCCCTCCCTTGACTCTTTTCCAACTCTTCCTTCTTCCTCTCCTCTCTCCTGCTCTCTGTGTCAGATGTTCAGTTATTCATCTGCCTCCTTTAGTGATAATGTGTAATAAGTGTAGTATTTTTGTAGTTTTGGAGGCGAGGGGGTCAGAGTTAGAATCCAGGCTTCAGGCTGTTGAACATCCAGGAGTTAAAGTAGGCCCCCCACGTAGCTGTCCTCCAGCAGCGCCTGAACATCCAGGCGATTGGGTAACTGTACGCAGAAAGCGTAATCATGGATCTCTGCCCACTGGTCACCACCAACCCGTTCACGTTTCTAACGGGTTTTCCGCACTCAGTGACACACCCACTGAGAAGCCCACTCTGGTGATAGGCAGCTCCATAGTCAGAAACATTAAATACAGTAAGATCGTTATTCACGCTGGCGGTAATGACACCCGGTTACGCTGTCTCTATAATTATGCTGCTATAGGCTTAGACTGCTGGAGGACATAGGGACCCCTTTTTCATCATTCTGCTTCATTCTATCTCTATTCTCCCACTCTGCAGAATCTGTTAGTTCAATCTCTAACGTTCTGCTCTCTCTGCTTTTTCTCATAGTAGCTTCATCTGGTCTGTTCCTGTTTGGCTGTGACTCCATCCTGGAGAGAAATATCAGCTGTGCTGCTGCCATCAACACCTTTGTTTCTAGATGTTGGAGTCATCTTCCAGCAGTGATGTCACGGTGCGGTAAGCCGAGCGCCATTCTCCCCGCTTTCCAAGCTAAATCAATGGGAACTACTAGACACATCTGCAATCAACAACAATTATTGAAGATTTCCAGAGGACTTCACCATTGAAATTCACCAGAGCTATAGTGAAACTGACAATGCCCACGTGCATGGCAGCTGGATGCTGGAATACATCGGTTAAAAGTGAAAAAAAAAAATATTATTTTACCTTTCTGATTCATGATAACGGTGAAAAACCCGTAATATGTAGCCAACATTTGGAAGAAGAATGTTTTCAAGATGACTTGGATAATAGCGCATTGTGACAAACACCAGATACAGCACTGGGACTTGATCAACAGCCGATACCGCACCGTGACGTCACTAACCAGTAGGTGGCAGTAGTGTTCTTTGACAAACATGGATGTCTCCAGTAAAGCACATTCACATGAAAATTACTCTGAATTAAAAACACTGATCATTTATTCAACTGGATGGAATCATTTCAGATTTAAAGAACTTTCAGAAATTTGAAATCTGAATATGACCAGATTTCTCCTTTAAGTTTATATTGTCTTGTTCCATTTGCAAAGTGTCTCACCTGCTTAATTAAAACAAACAAACACTTATTTTAAGAAAAAAAATACTTATTTAGAGTTTATTTTATTTCAGTGAACCAAAGTCTTTCAAAATAAATATTTCACAACATACATTTAAAGGCCGGACAAAATCTACTTTCCATCCCAGTTCGTCTCACATTCCATTTAGTTTTTTTTTTTTTCTTAGACTGACATCATTGAAATAAACAAAAACATTCATCATCTTTTAGTCCATGTTTTCCCACTTTGCTTCAGGTCAAGTTGGTTGATTCCTGCAAACGGAAACCAAGGAAAAAGTTCTGGAGGTCAACAGTCAGTCTCCAGTCCTCAGCACTGCTCCTCCCCCAGAGAGTCCGTGTTCTCCCCATGGTCTATGGAGGCTGACGTGCCCCTTATTTTACCATGCATCTGACCCGGACCCGGCCCAGCTCTGGGGGCGCCGTGTCCAGGGTAGACCTCCACTGTGCTGGAGATGGACTGGAGGGAGCGGTCCCCAAAGTAGTGGAAGGCTTCCTGGTCCAGGTAGTTCTGCTCCTCACGCAGCCCCTGCTCAAACAGCTTGCGTTTGTGTCGAAACTCGATGACTGTCTTTGTGTAGGAGTTGAGGGTGGTGACGGAGGCGGCCATGCAGCAGGTGAAGGAACCCCACGCCATGCTGGTTAAAAAAAAGGACAGTAAAGGTGAGAGTCACACTGATACGGCACTGACCAAGAACATTCACACCCTCAGAGATTAAATCTTTTGTAATTTTACTAGGGATGCAGGATATAATCGGCCCCCTATCTGTATCGGCCTTAAAACTGAATATCGGACATTGGCCACCCCACCGATATTTAACCCGATATTTGATCAGCTTCTGAGTTTCTAAAGTCTAAAAAAAAATACTACTTCTTCTTCTTCCTCAAAAACTTCTTTTTTACAGACTTAAAAACTTCTAAAGACGAGGGAAAAAATATTGATCCATTAAAATATCCCAATATCTTCATATGCTGATATATTGCCATTTAAAAACACCATATCAATCTCTTTTACTAATGAAATATTGCTATATGTCATCGTTATGCTACGAAATCCCCCGAAAATTCACGAAATGTTGCCATATTTTTATATGTTGATATATTGACGCGGTATCGATCTATTTTACTAACAAAATCTCACAGGAATTTGCAAAATATCACGAGAGTTTGTAACAGAACAATGAAATTTCACCAGATTTTGAAAGTAAAATAGATCGATACCGCGTTTTTAAAAATCTATTTGATATCAACATATGAAAATATATTTGAGTATATTATTTTTCAAAGTGTCAGAAATGGATAACAAAACTGCGATTTTCAATGACTACTTATTTTTGTCCAGCTTTAACATCGGTATCGATATCGGTTATCGGCTACATGAGTTTTAAAATATCGGCATATCGGATATCGGCCAAAATCCAAATATCGTGCATCCCTAAAATTTACCTTACATGTTTCAAATTAAATTAAATTAAAAATCAGACAAAGACAGCCTGAGAAATATTAAATGTGTTTTTTAAAATTATGATCTTCTTATACTGCATTCACCCTAAATACATTTTCTGTCTAAAACGTGCCGAAGGCCTCGTCTTCTCGGACGCTTGTGCCCATTGTCGCTCATCTTGAGAATTTTGAAGTGTGTGCAGATGCATCTGTATGGAGTAAATTTTATTTCATTATTGTATCAAACAAAAGAAAAAAAATGTGAAATTGATATTTAAAAACATTGTAACACAGAAATTAAGCTTTGAACATTTTTATATCAAAATTGTTTTGGAGTAACTGCTTTTCTTCCCCCTAAAAACTTTCGGGAAATCGGGATAATCTAATTAAAGTTTAAATTGCTGCAATTAGGGGGAACATTAAAGACAAATGCAAGTTGTGTATTTAACATTTCTTTCTTCAAAAGTCTGTTAATGACTTGATTTGTGATAATTAAACAGATTTATCTTGTCTCACAGAAACTTGGCTGCAGCAAGAGGATCATGTGAGCAACAATCTTTCAGTCTGACTAACTCATTACTCCAAAGGCAGGTAATACATTTAACCCTTAGTTTCCCTCATCCAAACTGCAAAGCCAGAAAACCTCTTTTTTTTGTAACTCTGTCTCGTCCACCAGGTCTTTACTCGGAGTTTCTATCTGATTTGGTGTTGAACATAGTGGGGATTTTAACATCCATGCTGACATTGAAGGTTATAGTTGAAATGCAGCCTTTAATGGTATCATGGGCTGTGTCCGAACATCTGTCGTAACCCATAAATCCCTCGATCGCTATACAGAGTGGGGACTATATAGTGGACTTTATGGTTTAACTGACTGTTCGGCAGGGGTGGAAAGTAATGAATTACATTTACTCCAGTTACTGTAATTGAGTACTTTTTATGAGTAATTTGTAATTTTCTGAGTGGTTTTTGAAATATGCAATTTTTACTTTTACTTGAGTAAATTTTAACCTAAGTAGTTTTACTTTGCTACATTTAAAACCCCCTCACGTTACTGAGTAAAAAAAAATTAAAAACACTGATGGTGAAAAAATTAAATGTGGCCCTGCCTTGCATCCTTTATATCGTCTCATAATCCAGCGCTGCGCTTCGGAGGATGGCAGCTGCTAATCACAACGTAGGGAGTATGGATGAGGAAAGGCCTGAAGAGGAAACATATTCTTGAGACGAAAGCCAGTAAAACCCTCGGCCATATTTGGAAGGATTATTTGTTTTCAAATGCACAAAAAGGAACAATGTGATAATGCAGTGCAACATGTGACTGCCCAGCAAAACGGAGCTTTCGGCTTTTAAAACATCAACATCCAATTTACGAAAACCTGTGGCGGTAAGTTAGTTATCATGGTGTCTGTTGGACAGTAGGATTGAAAATAGTTTGCACTTTATGGTTCAGGTTGTGACTGTCTGTGAGGAAGTATGTTCTTTAGCCCAGCTGATCTTTTGCAAGTGTGGATGTCCACTGAAATACGCCTTGAAATCGATTAAAACACATTCTGCTCAATTCCATTCATGACTCATCCTTTTATTGCATTAAATAACTCAAAGTAACTAAGAAACTTTTACTCAAATTACATTTTAAATGAAGTAATTTTGTACTTTTACTTGAGTAAATATTGAGATGGGTAATTTTACTTTTACTCTGAGTAGAATTTAGGCAAAGTAAAGATACTTTTACCCAATTACAATTTTTTAGTACTCTTTCCACCTCTGCAGTTCGGACAGATGATCACTACTTTTCTGCGCCCGTTTGTCACGTGACTCTGACTCCCCACATGGTGCATGCGCCATCTTTAAAAGTAGAAAGCTGGCAGTTTTTTTCTAATATTCCGAGCAGCAGACCCAACATACAGGTGGATGGTAGCACAGGGAATGCCCAGCGTTACATCTCTTAAGTCAACTAGTTACTCAGGGAATTGCTGCTGCCTTTTAAAGCGGCTTGACGTGCAAAAAAGGGTTGTTTTTCTTTGGATACTGTCAAACCGTTTGTGTTTACTTTTTTTGCATTTATTTGCACATTTATTTAACCAGTATGTATGATTCTGCTGAGAAATCGTGCTTCATGATGAAATTCAAAAAGGGTTTTTCATGTTGATCAGGGCTCGATGTTAACCATCACCCGATCTCCCGGGGCAAGTAGTTTTTATTGTCGGGAGAGGTCAACTTTCATTGCATTTGCCCGCCGCGCAAGTACAATGACCGCCAAAAAAAAAATTATTTTTCACTCAAAATTACTTTAAAATCACGACATTCTATGAAAACAACCCAGAAGCGTTGCCGGCGCAATTTTTGTTGATTTGTACACATTCTAGCATGATTTGAAAAAGGCGCGTGATTTGGAAAAAAAAAATGGGTGATTTTCCGCCAGATGGCGTGATTTTTGTTCACCTAGCGGTAATTTTGTAACCTGACTCCACCAGATGGATTTGCTCCGCATATATTTGCTCAACCTTCCGTTGAAGTAATTTTGGGAAGGGGCGAAAATACTGGTTAGCTGATTGGCCTATGTTGGTGATAGACGGGCCAAATAAACCAATCAGATCAACGAAGCATATGACGTACTAACAGAGCGACGACGAAGAGGAGCCAATTGATAGATCAAACTCTTGCCGAAACCAGTCGGGAGAAGAGCAAAAACATCTTTTCCTCTGAGAAAAGCCTCCAGAGCAGTGTTTTGCTCTTCTTTCAGTGAAGAAATACTCTGTAATTCCGATAAAACTTGCTCGATAGCCACGCTAACGCTAGTTTCATCGGCTGAAGCCGCCATGTTGCGTCACACCTCAACCCGCCTCAAAGCCAACGCTGATTGGACGTTCGTTTGGTGAACGGCTCCAAATTTTCTTTAACGGAGAGTCTCCAGACTGATTAACGAGTGAAACCTTGAAAGCTCGCGAGATCAGGATGGTCTCACGAGGCTAGTAATTTTGATGGTTACCAAAACAACAAACAAGCTAGAATGCGCTATCATATGGCAGTCTTCTGTACAGTGATGCAGGTCATACATTAAAAAAATGTTCATTAAATTTTTTCCTCTTAGACATTGGAGAGGTACATTTAAGGGCAAGTGACTTTGACATTTCATTTGGTAAAAATCCTTAACATCAACCCCTGTTGATAAAGGCTTCAACGTGAAAAACTCCTCCTTCCTGATTGGTCCCAGATTAAAGCACATTTTAAGCCCAGTTTCTGAGCAGGTGGAGGAAATCTACTGGTAGAAGAGATGAATGTGAGACTGATGCCTCTGCACTTAAAGAAAGTGACAGCATAACAATAAAAACTGAGCGCTTGTTGTACTAAATGCACATCACATGCAAGGTTATAGGTTTATGTTGGAAGAGTATTGTGCCAAAGATGTTCTTCTCTCTGTCCTTGATTGACAGATGATTTGTTGGAGCTCAGACGGCAGCTGCAGCTGGCTTTATGCAATGAGCAGAGAGCTGTGAAGGTCCTCTCTGGGTGATTATCTGAGCGACAACAGCCCTGTCACTCACCGTACACCTGACCGTCACCGCTTGTTAACACACTCCTGCACATCCTCAAGAATAGGACAGATTGGACACGTCCATGGGCTTGATGGTGTGTATTATTTTGACAGAAACACTTTGTTTTAATGTTATTACTCTACAAATGTAAAATATCATTTTTTTCCCCCAATAACAAAGCATAAGAAATCCATTCAGATGCACAATTAAAGCATCAGTCTAGTAACATGTAGCAGGATTAATGAACCCTGCTCTCCATGACTGGATAAAACTGTTGCACCAAATTACCTGCCAGCAGGGGGTGCTGTGAGTAAAAACAGACTCTTCCAATTGCATCTCTCCATGCCTCCGGTTATGGTCATATTTCTAGTTTGAGGTGTAGGTTTGGTCAGGAGTGTACACTGTACAAAATCTATACAAAATGTATATATGCATGAGTGTGTGTATATTTTTAAGCCATGCCAGGGGGGTGTGGGGGCATGGGATGAGAGATTGCATGAATGATTGAAGACTAAATTGACTTTTGAAAATCCAATACCAAAAATGGCCAGAAGATGGCAGAAGTGCGTCTATATCTACCATTTGCATGAACCTTTCCATGAACATTTCCGTTGATATCCAGTTTTGCTGCTAAGCGTTGTGTTCGGCAAGGAAAG